GATAAAGTGAAAGTATTTTATATATACACAGGGTTGGGAAAGTTACTTTATAAAAGTAACTAGTTACAGTTACAGTTTTTTCGCTAACAATGTAACTAGTTACAGTTACAAGTTACCAATTCTGAAAAGTAACGCGTTACAGTTACAGTTACTCGAAAAGTAACGAATCGTTACTTTGCAGTTACTCCCTTGCAATAGAAATAAAAAAATATCGAATCTGCATCTGAATTGTAAAGCGGTGACCTTAGCGGAAAAAATTTCTATAAATAACTACAAAAAATTGACTTGAAATAGAAATTTGTAGAAATTTTTATATCTTCGTTGAAACATTTATTTCTTTGTAAAAATATCTATAAAATAGTATCACAAATTACAATGTTCTCAAATCAAGAAATTATTGCAAGTAGTGTTTCATGAAAATGTACAATTTTGTAAAAATTAATACAAAACTTTACTAGTTTTAAAAATTTGAGAAACAACGAAATCTTAAAGAATTAAAACATCTGCTTACTTGTAGAATATTACAAAAATTAACAAAAGTGTTCCAATTCTAGCATTTTTATGTTGATTTTTATTTTTATAAACACTTTTTAAATTTACGTAGAATTTCTTAGATTCTGGCAGTTATATTTAATTTTTTTGTAGAATTTTGTAGAATTATTTCCTGCAGGGGATAAAGGCGTTTATACGCAAATGCAAGGCCTAATGCGATTTGTGGAGGTTGAAAATATATACATAAAGTAACTATTAATGTAACTGTTAAATTAGTTACTAGTTATCGAAAAAATGTAACTGAGTTAAGTTACAGTTACAGATGTAGAAAAAGTAACGAAGTTAAGATAGAGTTACCAAAAAGAAGTAACTGTAACTGTAACTTCGTTACAAGTAACGAGTTACTTCCCAACCCTGTATATACATATATACACTGAAAAAAAAGATTAGTAACACCAAGTAGAATCGAGTTAACTGAAACTAAATTTCGGGGTTGCATATGGCCAACTAAGTTACTCCTTTATTTGAACTAAATTTTTTTATTCCTTCAACTTGTTTTTTGTATGAAAGCAACTGAAAGTAAAGTTTAATCAGCTAGGT